ATCGTGTCAGATAAGCATTAACCGGTGTTAAAGCGCCGGTTAATGCGGCTTTACGGACATATCTACATACAAATTTGAAAGTGGAAAACTCACAGTTCCTCTGTTGCAAACTCTGGCAAGAAGCTGGAGCAAGAACGGCGGGGTTTTTTGATAGAGTGGCGGCGGACCTAGTGAGAGAGCTGAGGACCTTCAGGTAACCTGCCATGTTTTTTTTTTTTCCTAGCCGAAAACACTAGAGGTTGCTACCCGACTTAACTCCGGTCGAAGGAAGGGTCGAATGAATCGGAGCAAACGGGAATAAAACGCAGCTCTTCTCCGCCTCCGTGTCAGGGCCTACGTCACAATTACATGAGGTCAGGACTAAAAATCATCGAAGGGGTGAATGGCCAATCATATTTGAATACGCAACACATCGATGTTCCACCTGGTGACTTTTGATAACGCTCAGTTTGCACGTTGCCTTTCGTTTTCAGTTAACCCTTCACAGGCATCTGCAGTTATTTCCGATTGTGCACTCTTGTGGAATGTGCTCATTTGCATTGATCTTATTTACAAAAATAAATATACTTTCGTTTTTAGAAGTATTTTCAGTGAATCTCCAAACACATTTGCGTTGTTTTTATTCCTGTTATTTGGCATAAGTAACAGACTGTCTTACGACACAGGCAGATAACCTCTTCACATTCCGTTGTCTGGTTGCTGAGCAGCTCCGCTAATTTTAGCTGGGTTGTGTTACTTACCATACTGGGTGAAAGAATGGGAGGTGCGCAGTCTGATTGTGCGCATGCGTCGTAGAGCTGCTGCAGGTCATTTCAAGGTGCTAAAAAGTGTCTGAGTAGTTGAAGGCAGAGTTGAAAGCTGAGTTAAATGCACATTTTATGTTCTGCCTCACAAAATTCACAACATAAAATTGGTAACTTTAGGTTTTGTTAATTTTTTTTGGTAGTTTTGGAGTTAATTTATGCATACAATAAAAATATTTAGGTTTCCTCAACTATGAGTTCAAATGTCCCAGCTTTGGCAATCTAGGCCAGTTCAAATTTAAATTCCTCAAATGCTTCACGTGATTTTGATAAGAAAACTGATTGAGTAATGTCACTAGCTTTTCCTGTTTATGTATTGTAAACTAAAAAAAAATTGTTGCCCTCCAAATAGACAATACATTTTAGTAGAGACAATAGAGACAAGGAAATACAAAAAGTTCGCTGGCCCGCACACTGAATCAGACTGAGGAAGTCTAGCAAAAAAAAAAAAAAAAAAAAAATGTAGGCTCTTTCATAAGTTGCATCGTGCAAAGTGCCTGTGAATTAAAAACAGGTAGACACAATGTTGCTATCTTCACTGCTGTATTTATGTCTGTATTGTTGTCATGTAAGGCTAGGCTGTCATTCTGAAATTCAACATGCAAATATTGCTCCTCTGAACTACATGTCAATATGACCTCTGTTATCATTCAGAAGTCTGAAACGTGTAGTTCAGTCAACATGTTTACCCTACAGTGTTTGTCTGCTTACAGTAGTCAACTCTGCATAGGTCAAAGACATACAATCATTCACAGCTGGATCTGGTTCACTACAACTAAATTACTGCTGTGTACTTATAATGTACAACAGAGCAGTGTCAGTGTGGGACTGATGAGGACATTCTGTCATGTGGTTATAATGACAGTGAGTTTAGGGTAGAAATAACGGAATGTACTAATAGTCTTTAACAAAAAAAATATTTAATAGTAATAATAATACACTTCTTTTGTATTAAATTGTTTTGTATGTACATACATTTTTATTTATCCTTTTCCACTTACATTTACAATGAAATCAAGCCTTGCCTTATACATTTATTGCCTTTAAATAAAAAAATCGTTATTATTATTATTATTAATAATAATAATAAAATAATAGTTATTGTTAGGGTTGGGTATCGGTTAAATTTGAACTATTCTGATTTCAATTTTGCTTATTATTATTAAAGCATTTTTATAGTGCCACCTGGTGGAGGTAAAGACTATAATTTTAGTAAATAATTAGTACAATATAATATTTAAATTAGCCTAGTTTTTCACCTAGTTCAGAGAGGATTCAAATTAAAACTTAGTTAGTTAGTTAGTTAGTTAGTTAGTTAGTTAGTTAGTTAGTTAGTTAGTTAGTTAGTTAGTTAGTTAAAATAGATAGTCTAGCAAAAAGTAATATTATGACTAATATTGTTGTGAGTTATAAGTTATTATAAAAAGAACTAATGCAAAATGTGTGTCACATTTAGATCATAATATAATCATATTCCATTTAATTCATTCTATTTGTTGTCCACTCATCTAGAGAGGAAAGATGCTATACTATATGTCCACCAGAGGTCAGTGATAAATCATTCTTGCACTTTAGTGAAGGCTGATGCAGTTTTCTGGTTGAGTTTTGACACCTACAGTGATTATTTTTAGTTCACTTGAAGTATGTTGTTACACAAAATGTTTATACTTTTAACATTGCAAGCTATCTGTAACCAATTGTTTGTATTGAGTGAAGTCATTTATCATACATAAACATCCCTGGTTGAAAACATCACAGTTTGGATATATAATTAAATAACAGTTTTTAAGTTATTTTACAATAACCTATTTATGCAATAACTGCTTTAGGAGACTACTATGAACAACCATGGAAGCAGCTTATTCAACAAGTTTAGTCCTACGGTATGGTAAAGCTAATACCATAGGATATCCAGGGACTTTCACACACAACAGTCAAAGTAAACCGAGTTCACAGAGAATTTTACGAAAAACAAGCAAAATTGTGTGAGTGAGTGACAGTTCTGTCGGTCAACATGCCTTAACCATGCTGGTTCAAGCTGACAGACAACAGATATTTTATTTTTCAACATTACACCTATTCTGTCTTTACCGTGTACATCATGGTATCATCTGTTCACAATTGAACAAAATAAATACGTCTAGCCTAAACTAAACCTTTGGAAGAGGATCCCCTATAATCCCTTAATGTACTTTATTAAGATTCCTGACGAGTTTACAATCTACAGTGGATTAGATCTGGAAAAAGAAACTGGTCTACTATAGGTCAGGGGTCAGGATCACCTGAGATGTCTGCGTTGTTACTCCTTTGAGATTTACAATCAATTTAAACCTTTTTGTTGACCACAGTGACCACAGTCAGGAGACTATGGGAATCTGAATGCTGCAATGATGGGTCTGCCCTGATCAACATAACAGGTGCTCTTACAGTCATTTGAAGTTTCAGACTTTGAGATTAGAATGACTAGAACGTTTGTACAGATTCATACAGACATTTATTCAAAATATACAAGATACTACATACAAAAATACTATGCATCAAACAATGTAAACATGAGCGCAACCAATATGCCTCACAGTTATAATAGAAGACAGTTGTGATAAAACCTTTTCACATGGTCTCATTTGGGCTTTATTAGTAATTAAAATTTTACTCTTATATGTTCAGTTCAGGGCCAGCAGTTATGAATTATAATTATTATTGACCCATATGTATTTTTATGTCATACACATATTTCATAATCACAGACCAAAAGCCTGAATGCATCTGTTTGTTGATTGCTTGTGCTTTATGTCTTAACCCAGGGACAATTAGTGAGGAGTTAGCCAGCTAACCCTAGTACTACCGAACATATATTATTTGACAGCCTTATGCAGGCTAATAAGTGGCTATTAAACGTTATAGCAGCAATGAATCTGAAGCACTTTACATTTGCACAAAAAGTAACATGGGCACATTAGTTCACTTCTACCACATAACATTGGCTGACAAATGGATAAACCTACGTTTACATTTGTCTGTACAATAGTCATTGGTTTATCACAAGGTATGTTCTGCTACAGATCTAACCTAAATATATTATGATACGCTGTGATCAAAGTATTACCTAGAGATTTCTGTCAATTGTTGTCATATTTATATTTGTCATGTGATTTCTTACTTGCCGCAAACTGGTTCTAATATTGTAATTAAAATTCTGCTCAATATTAAAAGTAATCTGTGATGCAGAACACATTTTACTCTCCTTCAAAGGCACTATACGCTACAAACATTCAATCTTTTGAACTCATCGTGGAGCGAACTGACACTTTATATATATATAAAGACTGCCAACCTAATATGGTTAACTAAGGGCTCTATGACTATATAAATCATCTTTGCGTTAAGGAGTAAGTCATAATTACATTTGCAATGTTGCCTGTATTATTGCAATCAATGTAAGATGTGATCAATTACAAGAGACGGATTTCCCTATTATTAGCTCACAGATGGTCAGTATTTCTTACAGAATCTAGATCATGTAATGAAATACATCTGCACACAGGCATTATCAACATCAACATTATAAAGTTAATATTTTATATGTATAGTGATCAGAGAAAAGTTATCTTGCATCTCTCTCTTGCTACAATTCTCAACTGGCTTTGCTTTTCTTGCAGGACTTCCAGCCTTTTAATAAGGAGCCAATGGAATGCTCTCTTTTAATGGGTATGATCTGGTGACCTCTCTGCTCCATTTTGACTGTCTGGGTTTGCATTCACTCTCCTGTCTGCTTTAATGAATCTCATGGAGAGATGTCTAGACTTTGAAGATATACAGATATTTCTGTCTCTGTTTTTGTTTGCAGCAGAGGATCTGCGCTTAGAACTAGCTGTAGTCAAGCTGTCAAATTCAATCTTCATACGCAAGAGAATAATAGCACACTCTCTCACCTACTCTTTAAGAGGGAAAACACAACCTTTGTTGCGGAATGGAAAATTGCACACTGCTTTGTTGTATTTTTGTATTAAATCCCATTTCCACCAACATATATTTTGAAAAAACAGTTTTCTGGGTGGTAGGAAGCGACAGTATAAGCTTACGCTATAAGGTTACATCATATATAAAATCTAAACTAACCTTTAACAGCTAGGTTGTATCTTTAAATATCTTCACCTTTTATAGACAATAAGCTATTTATGCACCTGCGACATCTGATTTTTTCCCCACTGGTAGGCATTAGATAAATATATTAGTTTTCAGTTGCTTTTTCAAAAATGGTCTTTTTGCTAATTGAAACTAACAAGTAGATTAACCTCTTGATACAATATCCCTTTGCCCTAATTGGCTACATTCAGTGCTAACTACTTTTAAATTCTATTACAGGTACCACCTGTTTTCCACCTGCCTAAGCATCAACATTACCCAAAAACCTCAGACGTATATATTAATAATGATGTTAAAGTTGCTACATCTACATAGACTGAGTTTCATGATTGATGGTTGAGCTCTTCAAAGTTTGAAAGCTGCTTCATCTGTTCCACTTGCATAGAGTGTCTTCTCACAAGCTTCTTTTTCGTCCTGAGGTTTCCTCTCTTTGGTGAGTTGGGTGCTACGGGAGCTATTGGTCTGAAACCTGCTGCAAGTGGGGATGAGGGCTTGCTGCTTGCTCCTATATCTGGAATCGGAGGGTTGGGATTGATGTTTAGTGGGGGCAGGTGACCTGGGCGTGTGTGGGATATATAGTCCAGCAATAGCGTTCCAGAGCCACGCCGCTCCAGTAGGCCAGGTGCTCTGCATCTGGTTGTGCTAGGGGAAGAGGTACTGTGATTGCTGTCCAAGGACTCTCGCGAGCCTGTAAGCATAGCAAGAGGGGATGTATTGAGCTTCCTTCTCTCTAGGGGTGCCTTAGGAGAGTCTAGCATGCTAGAATCTGAGTACAGCTGGGAGTCTGAGTCGTAGTGTTCATTCCCCAGTCGCCTCCGGTGCAGTGTGTCTCTGAGGCTAGCTGGCCCCAAGTTTGCTCCAGAGCCCTCCTGCTCTGTGGGGACAGTGCTACGCCGTGCCAGGGGTTGGTGCTGTGCCAGCGATCTCTCGTAGGAGGCCTTGGAAGATGTCGAAAAGGATGAAGTTGGGGAGATTTTTGTGTTCTGATCTCCCACCATTGGAAACAAGATATCCTTTCCATCCACGCTGTTATGCCGGGACAAAGTGCCTCTTTTAGACAGGCTCAGACCGTTGACACCTGTAACAACATCTTCATCTGAGTTGGCTCTCTTGCTCGCTTCATTTGCTGCCGCCAACATGGAGGGGGCGATCAGACCCCAGGGCTCTGACTGTAGTCGCTTCAGCTGGGGTAGACGAGCCCGCTTGGGGTTCACTTGCTTCTTATTTGGGGAAGTAAGTCCATTGGGAAGTTTAGCTGCTGTGTTTGAGGTTGACTTAAACTTTGTTTGAAAATTGAATACAGTGTCTTTCTCCTCCTCTTTACTGGGAGATGGCAATGTGTGAAGATCTATCTCTGACGGTGAGGCACATGGTGCAGGAGACGTCCTCTCATCCAACTCAGGAGATGGAGGAACATTCAGGTACTGCTTGGTAGTTTTGGTTCCCGACGGCGATTTGTCAGTGGTAATGATGATGACCTCCTTGCCTTTGGCTCTGCAGGCGTCGAGGAGAACTTTTAAGGTTTCTTTATCATCTGCGTTTACAGAATAGACTAAAGCAGAGGATCCATGACGGTCCTCCAGGCTCGGATCAGCCCCGTTAGTCAGTAGAAGAGAGACCACCTCTTGTCCCGCCCTGTGGCTGCATGCATGCATGAGGGCTGTCCTTCCAGCTTTGTCTTGAATATTAGGGTCAGCTTTGTTGTCCAGAAGGTACTTGACAAGCTTAGCCTTGCTGACACTCTGCTGGTCAGAGTGTTTGGACATGCAGGCCACCATGAGTGGTGTCTCTCCCCGATCGTTGCTTTCATTGATGTAGGCTCCACCTTCCAGGAGAAGCCTTGTAAGGCGCAAACGGCGAAGCCATACTGCTTTCAGCAGAGAGTTCCCATCCGTCCTGATCTCCATCACGTCAGCCATCACTCAGACTGGACCCAAATCAGCCTCAGTCCTGCAAGGCAAGAGCAGACTGCTGCTACAGTCAACACGCAGATCCCAGAGACATGTCCATGCAACAAACACTTTACATTTAAGAAATAAGCAAAGGTGTTGTTGATGTGTTGTTGACCCTGCATGAAACCACTTGCCTGTTTGTTTTGAAGAGCCACCAGGTGGCAGCCTGAATGCGCAGGAATGAGTTATTGGAAGAGACGCTGAACTGACATGTGGATCAGGTGCGAATGGAACTTTGGATTTGCGTGAATAATCTGAAATGTGTTTGTTTGTGTTGTGTATCAAAATGTATTTCCTTATGTCAATCCTTAAATTATATCGATAGTGATTGTTCTCTCAATGTATATACATGTTTTATCTGAATGTACTAGTGGATAAAAAATACGGATACAAAATAATGGATAGAAAATCGATTCAGTGACGTTAATGAATAAATGAATTGCGCGTTTTTTTTTCTATTTTTCCTCTATATTTTGTGTGTATGTTTTAGATTTATTTGAAAGACTGCTTTTAAAGCAGTTGCTTTGGCATGAATAGTCGTCCTGAATTGTCTTGTTCCAGTTCTCGACCCACACAATATTAGATCAGTTAGCTTACTTGAAATAATTTGATAACCGTTTAAATTTAAATGGAGTTATTAGAAACCCAAGAAGGGGCTTAATCAGGGTTAGCTGATTGCTTGTGATTTTTAAACACGTAAACTGTATGACGGAATGAAAGAACTGATCATGCGTTTTTGGTTAAGTCTGAATGAATGAAACATGTTTCGTGTCTTATAGAATTTTATTCAGATATCACTGCGATAGCGATTTGCCACTGTCCATGGTCCTGAGAGCATGTGAAAAATAGTAAACATCTGTGATGCGCGCTTGGAAGATAAAACCCGGTCTCGTAATTTTATAAGTTATAATTCTAGATCCAGTTGCATCTACATCTGTATAAATCACAACTTTGGTCAGTCTACTTGCATTTTCTATGATCTCAAATGTATCTGTGTATGTGATTAAGAGTTCCCTAAAATTTTATTTTGTTGAACATTGTAGTATTAGCAAACATATTGCATCATAATCATTAAATGGACAAAATATAGTCAAAATAGTCAACATGTTTAACGCGTTTGTCAGGTAGTTAGACACCCAATTTGATGAAGTTATTAAATTTCCTTACCTGGTTGACGCACAGGTTTACCATTGTAGAATAAGTCCAGGGTATAATGGTCTCCAATATTCTAGAAGCTATGGAGAGGCATAGTTTCTCACCACAGCTCGTGTAGTTATTTAGTTCAGACTCCACAGAACTGTCCTATTTTAGGTTCAGCTCTATCGTGCAGGCACAACGACGCTCCAGCCCCACCGCTTTTGTTACTGAGACGCAAGAGACCAGTCCAATCGCTACATTCCTATTTGCGCACCCAAGGACCACACTAAGACGTTGAGGTTATAAATAACTTCCCCCCTTTCACTTCGTGAATTAAACGTGAATCTGATTGACGTCAGAATCTACTAAAATAAATCGGTTCTGGTGTGAACCTGTGTTGTCATGATGAGCACAAACAAACAAAAACATGGAAAAAAAATCTTTGATTTTGGTACATCGAGATTAAGAATCAAATCAGTAATATCAAAACACCAAATCCAGTATGTAATCTGGTGCAATTTATGCACAACCCGTATTCTTTGAATGCAGTATATATTATAAATATATAATAATATATACAATTATAATAATACTATATAAATTTAGATTTTTATTAGGTATTGTTTATAATAACTAGCACAAAAAACAAATATAACTTAAATAACTTTGTCACAGCACAAATTAAGATGAAGTCACCACAATCTTGTTCATGACACAGACTGACTTGTGTCATGCACAAGAGAAAATAATTATTTGATGTTATGAGCATTTCAATAGTCGCATATATAGCACTGATATAAGCTGATAATAGTGCTCTTGTTCTTTTGATTGGAACAGTTCGAATGCCCATTCTTATGCAAATCTTATCTTAAATTCTTATGCAAGTGGTGACTATCTATCTATCATCTATCTATCTATCTATGACATTATTTTCATTGCTTATTGTCAGAGTTTGCATTGCAATTGAACACCCATAACTTGCAGCCATTTCAGTCATATATAGCATAATAGGGACAGTTCTATTTTTAGGTTGCTATGAGACAGCACAGAATCATATTCTGACTGAGACCAATAGAATTTGTGGTGGTGGTGTGAGCATGAACTCAAAATATTAATAAATATTTAAAAAATAACAAAAATATGAAACTATTATTCCTAGTAATGTTGTGACGCTAAATCGCTTTTATGATAAAACAAATTCTCATAAAAAAAATGGAGGACTTTTGTCTTCGAATGACCCTTGTCTTCCCTTTCCTCATGGTTTTAATATCACACAAGGCCTGTGGTTATTTACTTTCTGATAAACTGCTTGCATGAAGCCCTTTTTCCACTGGAGCAAAACAATGATTCTTGAATGACTTTTCCCACACACTGTCCCCACTTTTATCTGCTGATGATGACACTTCTGATCACTTAGGAGAATATTGTTATTTACCCAGCCATCATGTCTGAGACAGAGGCTAGTTATGAAACTGCAGGGCGCTGCCAATCTCCATGTTTGTGTTCATCCTGCTGGCTTATGGTGTCGTCTGGAGCTTCTCCAACCATATGACCACGCTTCATTTATCTTTACAAAAGTTTCCAGACCACAGAAAGGTGGACAGTAACCGGGGGTTCAATATCTGCTGTCGGGTTAGATCTTCTTGATTTTTTTGTTATGGAAGGAAGGAAAAATATATGCATTTCATATAAAGCACCGCTCATGTGATGAGTGTTGTTAAGCAACAGAACTAAGGGCGGGTGGTGGTGGTGGTGGTGTGGAAAACAGATGCAATAGGATGCCCACTGTTGTCTGTTATCAGTTTATAACATGCTTTATACATTGCGAATATGAAATTGCCTCCTTTGACATGACATTTGTAATGACAACAAATCTGCATTTTGGTGTAAGGGGTATTTTTGTACATGAACTACTTATCTGGCTTACAAAGAGATGTGCCATGCTGTGAATTGGCATTGTTTTATGTGAGCATAGTGTGCTAGTTTGCCTATCACAGTGTGTGTTTTCGAGGCATGACTTCCTCAGGCATGCGCTTTCTGACTGGGGAGCAGAAAGGCTTCTGAGCTCTGTTGATTAGACACGTTCATTAACATGGGAACTACAGGGACGTCAGCACTCTTTCCGCAAGGTTTTTTCTTTTCTTTTCTTTTTTTTTCAGTGCAACGCCGTAGATACAAAATAAATAATGAAAGTGCCCGAGATTCAGCTCTCTCACCCCTGGGAGCTGTTTCCATTTTCAGAAATCTTACATTGCACCTGATGCGCTGCCTCTGTCTAAATATAACCCCCATCACGCTCTCTCTCTCTCTCTCTCTCTCTCTCTCTCTCTCTCTTGCACTCTCCTCTCTCTCTCTCTCCAACTTTCTCACTTTCTCTCACTCTTTATTTACCCAAGAAGCAAAATCCCACTGTGTAAAAGCATTGCAGTTCTGAAGTAGCAGTCTATGGAAGCCACGGAATAAAAAATAAAAATAAATTATTTTGAGTTTCTCACAATTCTCTTTTTTCCCCCTCACAATTCCAAATTTTTTATCTCGATATTTTTTCCCTCAGAATTGTGATATAAACTTGTGAGAAAAACCTCAGAAATGTGAGATAAAAATGTTATTTTTAAATGTTATCTATGTAAAATGTTAAAGGTTTAGATATAATTTCACGATGTAACTGTAGGGCTAATACATTATGTCCCTATGAACTGAATATGTGAATATTACTATTGTTTACATCAAATTATCTCTGGTTTCATCTGTCCAGTCTGTCTGTTTAATGGCTTGCAACTATAAACTTCTGCGTTTAGCATCAAAGAGCGTAGGCTATTTGACTATATTTTTTTCTATAAAAATTAAGACTCGTTTTTGCATTCCAATTCTGACATCCAGAGGCACACAAATCATTTTTTTTTCTCTTATTCTGTGGTTTTCCTCCACTTGGTTTCACTGCTGTTTCATTGCTGTTTGCGTCATCTAAAACACACAAATGGTCTATAAGACATGCATTTAGCCATCACCTTAAATCTTTTGAAAATATGTTTACCATGTTTATAAGAAAGATGAATTACATCATTTATATGGCCACTGGTTATCTGGTATTATTAATGTTGTTAGGTTTTATTACGCAAATGTAAGTGATTTTCAGGTTCACACCCTTCAAATGTCCATATCAGTTCTATTAGCTCTTGTGTGTTCCTCTGATTCTTCCTTTCCAACAGTTCTCTCTCCTTCTGCCACTATTCAAATGGTTTGTCACTGCAAGTAATTAATCATTTCAGGATTGGGGTTCCAGCAAGAGTGTCTGCTCACCGAATGACCTTTCTGAGGCAAAGCCCAATTAGAGTGTGCCAATTTTCAAACCCTTGCTGCATTTACATATTCTTGAGTGACAAAATCCTATGATTTAGAAAACAAATCTCAGTCAAAATGTGCATGTATAACTGATAGGAAGCTTAGACTCTTGTATGGTGAAATAGACAAACATTGATTGGGGACCACTCGATAGCAGAGAGCAAATAGCGGAGTGAGGAAAAGGCTGTCTAGTGCCTGAAATAGATCTTGTGAAATGTTTTTTTTTCACCTTGGCAGTTCTGCTTCATAGTTTTATTATAATGCCTTTGGTTTGTTTCCAATCTTAAAAATGCACTCTACTCAAGCCATTTATTGACCTCCATTTGCTTTTGTAAATCATGAGAACACATTTGGTGATACGATTATTTCACTTAGATCCTGATAAACCTGAAAAGCAGTCTGCTTGTGAATTAATTTCCAAACAAAAAGCCTCTGAAGTATAACATGATGTTGGTTTTTGCTTTCCCTAACACCAAAGAATGGTTCTTTTTTTTTCTGCTAGAATAGTGTAAGTAGCAGATGTTGGCCTATTCTGTTGCATTTGATTTCACCACAGTGATGGGAACAATAGCAATGGGTGGAACATGATCAAAGGGACCCACAGATATAATTATGGAAATCAAAGATCATTTTTGTCTCCGCTGGCAACATGTAATCCTAGTGTGAATAGAAAAAAAGACAAATATTGCAAATGAGGTATTCAGTGATCCATTACCCAGAGATTGTTTGATCTATGAATCAGCCACTATACTGTACAATTAATTCCAGTCTAATCAGTTCTACTGAAAGAGTTAATACAATGCTTTGTAAAAATGCCCCTTTGTAAAAAAGCGAAACGATTCTTTAATTACTTTTGCAAAAGATGCATTTGCTTTGCATCACTTTTAAATCAAGTGAAGACATGGAGAACTGTTTTGGGATTTCTGAATTAAAATTATACTCTAAATCTGCTGCTATTATATTTCACCAGATATGTTTTGCTAGTTTATGCACTCATAGTCTATCACTAAGGAAAATGTTGGTTTTTGCTCTTGCACAGATTGTCTCCTGGCAAGTAAAGGCTGTGCATATGTTCTATCACACAATTTTTAATCATCTTTACCCCCAACTCACTGCTGTGACTAATCTCTACTCGTCTCTAGACCAAAATAATCAAATGAATATGCTTGTGCTCGGAAGCATGCGGTCTTTCCCCTTCTTGTTGTGGTGTAGAGTATTGGATGTTGCTTTTGATTGCGTGCTCCTGAGCTTAGCGTCTCTTTAAAAAGCGAGCCTGACATTCTCATGGCATTTGGTGTCTCAACGATTGTATCAGCCGAATGTGTGGGCTGTGACAGCAATGAACTGGCACAAACCTCACTGCAGCACTATGTTGCCTTCTCTTGCCCTCCTCTTGTGTCTCCTCTCCCACACGAAGACCATACCCTGTATCAATGCTCGCATATGATACAGAGATATCTTCACGCGTTCTTAAAGTACAGTACGCACCCTCAAATGAAGCCCTCAGTCTGTTTTATTTCGAGGAATGCTGATTGTCTTTGCTGGAGCTTGGAGATGGCTTCGGATCTTCTTGTGCAGACTGATGCTCTCGTCACTGTTACATGCATTTACAATACAGGCAACGATCCTGCTTGGTGATTATTGTGTGGCGGGCCGTATCCTAGGAGATTTGTGAATATCTAATGAGGAGTTTGCCGCTCATTTTGCAGAGTGTGCTTTGATGTCTTTCTGTTGCATTTCCAGATTCACGTCAATTTCCTTCCTAATGAAGCTGGAAGCCTGAAGGGTGTAGATTATGAGACATTTCCGGCTATTGTAAAACATAGTGCGTCCTTTGATGGGAAAATTACAGTGGGACCCCTCATATTGAGAAGAAGGTCCATCTACTTTGCCCCGTTTCTCTACTGTCCACTACTTTAATTGCTTGTAAATATAAACCTAATATGATTCTAACTCCAATTCAAAGGCTACAGGCTACCGAAAAAATGTATACAT